GCAGCAGTCAGTAAGTCATTTCTGTTTTATTCCTTTCCTTTCCAGGTGTGACATCTGTTGTATTACCTTTCGTACTCATCGGGGCTTACTGCGCCATAATGCAGTTATCCACAAGCAGCTTCCCAGAGATCCCATGGGAAAGCCTTTCATTCAGAACAACCCTTCAATTCCAGCAGGCTTCCATGACTTGGGATTCACTGACTTCTCCTGTAGGAAGTTCCCCCGCATTTCTCAGGTACTTTCTGTTCTTCATAGCTTAAGGTAACAGCTGATAGAGCACATATCTTCTGAATTCATGGAAAGATGTGTTCTTGATGAGCTAGAGATGGGGTGTAGAATATTTTGTGGAAAGCATATTACCACCGTCCGTGTAGGCTTCAAACACTTTCTGCCTTTCCTTTTTCTATCTAAAGAATACTGGGATTGGGTTGGTTTTTTTCAGCATTCCAGTGGGTAAATATTAGTGTAAAGATCTATAAAACTATTCTAAAGGAGAACTTTGGTGGTCTTAGATCCTTGCCCCTTCCAGACTGCCCATTGGTTCTCTCCTTCCCAAAACCATCCCACATCTAAAATCAGTAGGGAAGACACATGGCAAGGAAGACATTATTTATTTAATTTCCTGTAAAAAGGATGTAGTTGTGGTGTGAAAGATTTTATCATGAAAAGCTTCAGGAAGTCACCTTACTTAGTAAATGGCGACATCTTCAGTGATTTCTTCACAAAACACTCTCAGGCACCTTTCCACTATGTTCCTTATGTGAGGTCTGAAGATTTTGCATCTTTGAAGGACAGTGGCTGGGGAAAGGCAGGGAGGTAGTCTGTAAATATTTCTGTAACAGCCATAATGCATTCTATTGGATGAAATTATTCTTCCCTTTGTCACACCTTGCCTGCCTTAGTTTGGGTCTGGATGAAGCTGCATGTATATTCAAAAACCGAAAGAAATAAATCAACAGCACAATCCAGCAGGACCATGCTTGTTCAGCATCCGCACTTTTCTTATTCTACTTGGATTAAAGCATTGTTTTCCAGCTCTTCTCGCGTGAAGGTGTTAGTCCTGAAATTTGGTGGGTAGTTCTGTAACTCGAGTAGAGTTTTGGTGTAAAAGTTACTAAATCAGGACAAGAGAGAACTTTTTAAACAACTTGGGTTTATTTCTTTTGTAATTAGTGGCAGACATTTAACATTATTAAAGGTTTTAAATGTTGTGACTTTCCTTTTGTAATTATTTTGCTTGCACTGTGAGGCAAGACCTATGAAGTATCTGAACAAAGTGTGCAGCGTATATAAAGATCTTTCCAGCCCTCTACTTAATTTATCACTTGTGCTCCTCTTTGATGTGGAACCTTTGCAACATGTGAGCTATGTGGGTAGCATTTAAATGCAGCATTTGGATTCATGTTCATTTTCAGTGACAGGTATAAAATCCATTTGTGAGCCTAGTATTTTCCTTGGGAGAATAAATATAATTAGACTTCACTAACCAAAAGCCTTTCCACTTTGGGCTCTGCTTTTCATTGATTTAAGGTGTTATTATTTCGGGGGTTTTTATGTTATTTTGCCTTCTTGGATGCCTTTTTTTTTTTTTTTTTAAATCCTCCTAGTTTCTTTGTAGTAATAAGACTAAAGGAGGTAGTCTTAATGATGTTTGCTGTATAGTCCACTGAGGCTTCCATCCTGTCAGAGAAGTGAGAGAGGTTTCTGGAAGGGAAGTTAAAGGTGGAAAAGTATTTGAGAGTCTGAATAACTCTCTGAAGGAGTTTGCCTCTATAGAAGGGAACTTTTGGAGGATCAGCCCCTAATTCAGATACACCACTTAGGTGACTAGAGGTTGTGGAGCAGGCATGTCTCCCTGCCAGAGAG